GGAGCGATGAGAAGTGAGGCAGGGACGAGCTCTGCCTCACGTAAGCCCACAGTAACTTGCTGGAGCACGGGCACTAATTTAGCGCGGCCACTTATTTTGTGAGCGCGCTCAAGCCATTTACTGTGGGGTGAGGTGAGGCACAGATGAGCTCTGCCTCAATTCAGAATGCGTCACCCCACAGAAACTGGCTGGAAAGCGGGCCCTAAGCACATGCCTGTTACCATCTCACTGTAGGTCACCAATGTAATGTTTGTAGATCCCTTTATTACATTTATCCTCGCCATCCATAGTCTCTAAATAACTTATTTCACGTATATATGATATTTAGGCTCGCTGGTCTCATCGTACGACGGCAATGAAAAAATCACCAGGAGAGGCAGCCATAACCTCTGCCGCACTGAAGGGGGCGCACGTGAGCCCACAGGTTCTTGTTGCTACTGTTATTCTACCGCAAACAACAAACTAGACTTTTGAAACTACAGGAAGATAAGGAGGACTTTTACAAAACAGTAATAGAGATTGTTGTCCAGAAGGATAGCATGGACTTATATTCATCTTCAAGTCAAGGTAAGACCACAACTGTAATGAAAATGGGATCCTTTTGTTGGGTATCCTTTTGTTGATCGGTCTGTTTAAAATTAATCATAGCATCAGACTAAAAAAGCTTTTGAAAATAACAGAATATTTCGATTAAGGTCAAAATAGGCTATAATATTTGTAAATCTGACTCTGAAAGAGTCAGTGCCTCACCAGCCATGAACCTCACCGCACGTCACTGGTGCACAGGTAGGGGCTAATGTTGCCCGGCAACAGCCCGTTTGCCATTTTTGTCTGACCTGCCCCTCTGGAGAGAGCGAGGTTTTTTTTTGCTTTCTATTGTGGCCGAATCAACATGATAAGCCCACAATTAGTATTGTAGCATCTCGCTGTGATAAAACATAGTGATGGGAATTATGGCTCTTTGAAGGGAGCCGGATCTTATGGCTCCGTTCCTTTCAAAGAGCCGTTCAAAAGAGCCGTTCAAAAGAGCCGTTTTTTTAAGGTTACTAGGTTTATCTGCAAAATAATCACCAGGATAATGATTGACTGTATTGCCAGACCTAATGTCAATAATCGGCATTGTAAACATGACACAAGGTGGCGCCATATCCATGTCATCATGTCAGTGAATGTACTTTGAATTTACCCTCTGTATGTGTTAAGTAAATAAAGTTGCCTTGCCTTGAATGAAATTCATGCAACTCTTAATATTAGATACTGTGTTTTTAAGTGGCGATGGAGATTATTTGTTGACCCTGCTTTAAAGGATATTTTGCCTTTACAAATGGTGCGCTTTATCACTGCCTGGGTTTTGGTTGAAGTGAATCCAAATGCTGCTGCGTTTTCGCGTTTGGCTCATTTACCATCCGAAAAACACGTTGTCTACCTGTCCTGTACCACTTGTTATGACTTCTCTCTCTCGCGTATTCCGTTAAGACCCACCCCATCTCACTCCTCGTGCTGAAACCTACCAAACAGAGTAGGGGCGGATCTTCACAGAATACGTTTGGGGAACAAAATCAAGCTTTTTAAAAGGCGAGTGGATTTTGGCAGGCAGTGAGTGCGGACCAACGATTGAACGATAACAAGAACGGCTCTCACAAAGTAGGACTCGGTTCCCCTCGTTCGTACCAAAGAGCCGTTCAAAAGAATCGGCTCGTTCGCGACCGACACATCACTAATAAAACACAACTTGTCAGCGCTGTCATCTGCCCCCAGTCACGTGACTTTGTTTACAATCTGACAGCTGGAAGCAAAGGAAAGCCCTCCGAGTCCGGCCTCATATGGATATGGTGATCACACCAAATGCCTGCCTGGCGTTAGAGTATAGGGGACAAACCAGGGGACTTTACTTCCTCTTGACACCGTCGGTTATTTACAAAAAAAAACACCTAAATATACTTGTTATTGTGCTTCTGTCTTTCTGTGTCTTTTCATCTGCTCAGTAAACTCCCTCAACGGGGCCGCTCACTCTCTTTTCTTGATCGCCCTCTCACGGAGAACACTTCACTGTCCCGCTTCATTGTAGGATTTCTGCCATGTCTCTACTTTAGTTTGACCATCTCTGTTATTAAGTTATGGGATTCTAAATAAATAAGTAATTAGATACCTTACCGTTACTGTGCTCATAAAGAATGATAAGAATAAGAATAATGCGTATTGAACTGGTTTAATTAATTAGTGAGTTTATTTAAGGTAGCCTAATTAGTTAGAAGCCCTGTTTTATTAGTATGTCTGGACTGCAGTTACAATGGTCAAACTACATTAAAACAGGATTGTCCCCATTTTTTCTTTAATAGTTACTAACATTAGATATTTTAATGATATGGACCGCAAAACAAAAAATGTGCCTGAATAACGAATTTAGCAGTTGGACATAAAAGTCAACTGTGTGTCACAGTGTTGTGTTTTTATGTTATGAACCTTTTACATTAAAAACAAGTTAGAATTTTCAAAAGGTCTTATGTTTTTTTTCGGGGGGGAGGCCCTTTTTCCAGTTTAGAGCAATAGCCCCTCCAAATGTCTGTGCACGTCCCTGGGCTTAAGTATAGATTAGGTTGAAAGGTCACTACACAGTTCATTCAACTCTGTTCTGCTTAATATATACGTACACTAAACAGTGTCCATATCACAGATTGTACATCATTTTTTGTGTCTAAAGTCTGAAGTTAAACTTGGCAAAATAATGAAAATATGTTTTTATCTTAACTTTAACATATTTTACAGAAAACATTTGTTTATGTTCTTGGTGCGTCATGGAGCTGCTGGGGAGTGTGTTGGAGAGAAACTCCCTCTGGAGGGAACAGGGATTTTAGCCTTTGCAGACCATTGACATGCACACAAACCTACTGTATGTAACAATACAGGAAAGGGAACAAGCCCAAAAGCTAAATAGGGCCCCTTTACGAATATATATATTACTCATGTATTTATATTATTCATAAGCATTATTAGTGTGATTGCAAATTAAGTACTGAAAATAATTGACTTCTTCCAAAGTAATGTTACCACTATTATTTCAGCCAGTATAAAATCTGCACCTCATCCTTTCTTTGTGTCTTCGTTGATCTCAGCTCCAACCACTTCCAAACCAAAGTGGACTCTTCAACCTTTTTCCACTGAAGCTCAGTCAGCCTCCACACCCCCAACACCTCAGAGGCAAAGCTCCAGTTTAAGAAGTTTCACATCCTCATCATCTTCCCCTGAAACCCCCACCCATCAGCAGCAGACGGAGAGAACAGCTGCACCAGCTTCAGGTACTTTTTAAAAATGTTTGATAACACAGTTTTAGGGTTCCCTAGCAGGCTTTGTGAAATCATTTAGGCTTCACTATGAGACTGAAGAGAAACGAAGACTACTGAACGTTTTCTTACGGGATCACCGAGGCCAAGTCGAGATGCCGATGCCCCCTTCCCAACTTCCTACTCCCTTACTAACTGTTCAAAAATAATTACAAGAAAATTCCAAGCACTGCATGAACATTAATGATTTATCTGAATATTATAGTAAAGTATGAATTGCTAATTTCAAGTAATATTACATTGAAAACTGTAATAAAATAGACGGATGAATTAATTTCAATAAACATGTGGAAACTAAATCACACGTCTGAAAGGATTTATTTGGAGTGCAGTCCAGTGACAGGTGATGGACTGTGAGCACGCCAGCAATAAAGGCCGTCGTTGAGAAGCTGGAGTGAACGAGGACATCCCCGTGTCGCTCTCTCTCTTTCGCCCCCTGTCTGCACCGGTTAAAATAGAAGATCCCTTAATAATGTATTGATGAGAGGTACGGGTCTGTAGGTCCGCCTGTTGGTGACCTATGCACTACAACATTAAAATGCTCCTACATGTATTCATGAGACATAAAAACAGAACCATATATTCTATAATAAAAACAACACTATGAAAGGAGCTATTATGCATAATGATTACTGAAACTGAAAGTTCAATTCAGTAGGCCTACATTCAATGGAGTATTTTTAGACCATGTGTTTCTGCGTTGGGGAGGAGAGTAGAGCTGTGTGTTGTGTTTGGAGGAGGGACTTCATCATTTAAAGAAGTAACAAGTTCCTGGTTAGCCAGTGAAGAAAGACAGTCAGTGGTAAACCATCAGAGTCTCAGCATGAAAGTCTCTCACACTTTGATCTGCTTCTTCCTCCTCTTCTGTGAGTACATCACTTTAGTTTCATGTCAGTAATTGAATCATTTTCCTTTCAAGTATTTATTGAGTTAATGCAAGGCTCCAGCAGTACGAGTTATTCAAATATTTCAAAGTTAGGCTTTTTAGTAGCTTTGCAACCAATGACCTAAGCTTCACTTCCTCAAACAAACTGTACATCATCATTAAACTCAGTTATTATCTGCTTACTGAATTAATAAAATGAAGTCATTATGACAGTTTTTTTCTGTGAAATAATGAATATGATTGTTTTCATAATCATTTCATCTGCAAAATATTTTCTTGATTCATTTATTGATCTTTTGATTTGTATTCTTACTATATATACATGCCGCTAATGTTAATTTCAACAATTTATTATATTTGTATCTTATTGTATCTTTTAAACATGTATAACTCGCGTACGGCTTGACACTGCTGCTGAAACAAAAAATATTTGTATCTAAGTGTTTTGTCCAAAAATGTCATAAATTAAAAAAGGGGTGTGGACATAAAACACTTTTTCGGTTATGTACTTTAAGGATTTGCGTTAATGTGACGCTTAAAGTTACAGATAGAGACTTCATGTAGTCTTTGTGTCTAAAGAAGGATAAAGATCTCAGACCAAACGGTAACATGAACCTGCAGTGCTGATGGTGACCTTCAGTCACAGGCTGTGGTTTAACTCTGAGGATCTGTGTTCATGTGAAACAGGAAGTGTTGTGATCAGACTGCAGCATCTTACAGGAAGTACTGACCACTACTAATGATGGTTCATCTATTGTTCATCTTTTGTTCAGCTCTGCAGGATGGAAACACCGGTCTCTTCAGTGCCCAACACTCTGTCTATTCAGGAATTGAAGGAGAAAATGTCAGAGTTCAATGCTCCTTTCCTTCTTCTAGAACCAGGAAGTTCTTCTGTAAGGAACCATGTAAACAAAATAGAGACATTCTCATTGAAACAACTGATGCCACAGCTCAGAGTGGCAGATACAGCATTGATTATAAAGATAGACGTCATTTTGTGACCATCAGTCAGCTGACCAAGTCTGACTCCGGACGCTACAGGTGTGGTGTGGGATCATCTTTGTCATCGGCTTCATACGAGTATATTGAAATCATTGTTGTTGATGGTGAGTTTCTACTAAAAACTGAATGTTCTTTCTTGTCCAGAAATTGTTTTATCTTCTCACCTTTACTTCATTTAAATCCAACATGTCTTCTGAAAGCAACTGATAAACTGAAATAGAAACGACTACACAATTGTATTTGAATATTATTGTACAACCCACACTTATTGTTGACTCAAGGGATATTTTAGTGATGAAGAATTTAATACCAGGGGCACGAGCATATTGGTCTGTTGTGTGTTTTCCATTCGCTGAATGAAGTAGAGTCTATGAGACAGCTCTCTGTTCTGTTGAAAAGTAAGACAATGAAGGAATGAAAGGAATACTTTACCCACCAAATATACAATTTTTAGATGAATTCATAACTCATCCTGTGTTACCTTGAATTTGTGAAGAAAATTTTTCTAGCATGACTCCACGGTGAACAAAGAATCCCAAAATGGAGAAAAGTCTTGGTGAATTAAAACATCCGTTAACTAACTCTAACACAACTAATGCTGTTTAGTCCAAATGTCATTTATTGTGTGCGCACTACTTCCCTAAAACATGCATTCTGCTTAAACCTCACCATTTAAAACACTTCTGCACAAAGAGACAAGCTCCTCTTTTCTCAAGCACAGTTAATGCAGAAGTGTTTAGATAAGTAATGTTTTAGGGAAGTTATGAGCATATGAACTCAAGGTAATTCAGGGTAAGTCATAATATAAAAATGATCAGTTCAAAGGGTTAAGAAATCCTTTCCAAAAAATGTCAACAGATCTCCTGCCTAAAGTTCACATATTTAATTATCAGTTAAGCTCAATGAGACACTATTTGTAACTAAAAATACAAAGCCTGCAATTTTATTAAAGCATTCAAATATAATATAAATCCAAAGTATAATGATATCAAATCAAACTGAAATAAAATAATAAAGAATTTCAATCAAAAAGCTGTTTCATTAAATCGTCACACCTCATCCCTCAGTGACTGGATCACGTCTGAAAATATACAAAGTTTAAAATATTGAAACTACAATTTGTAATCTACAAATAGTAACTTTTGATTGTTTGTTTTTTTCAACAGCAATGCTGTATGGTGATCTTTCTGCAGAAAAAACAATCAATGCTAGAACTGGAGGAAATATTGTAGTTGAATGCTACTTTACTCGCTCTGGGACCCAAATGTACTTCTGCAAGGAGAAATGTGAAGGAGACATTCTTGTTGAAACAACTAGTGAAACATATTTGAAAGACAGATACAGCATCAGATATGTTGAAGGATATCAAAGAGGAGGATTTCTGTATGTGAGCATCGAACAGCTGACCCAGTCTGACTCAGGATGGTACAGGTGTGGTCTGGGCAGAACTAACTCTCGAGATCCATCCCATTGGTTTAGGCTCATCGTCACTGATGGTGAGTTTCTGCTTCAAAATGAAAATGTTTGTTCATGTCTCTGAAGACAGTTTTCAATTAAACTAAATGCAATAGCTGTATTAGTATGACCATTGTTACATACAGTATTTCCAAAGCTCTGTATAGATGCAACATCTACAGTATACACAAATACATACATATAAACAAACTGCTGCCTTTTTTACTGAAAGCTGCTAATATTTTAAATCCAATTTAAAAGAGTTAAGCTGACAGACAGACACAGAGGAGGATCTAATTTCTCTCATCAGGACTTCTTGCTTGTTTTTGTTCACAGCTCTGACCACTTCTTCTCCTTCATCATCCGTCCCATCAGCCTCTACAGAAACATCAAACCAAAGTGAAAGCTCCACATCTTCACCAGCCTCCCCTAAAACCACAGAGCAACCTGAATCAACAACAACTACAGGTACATCCACACACTGTGTTTACTAGATAACGTTTCAACAACTTATGAAACATAAAGGAGCATGAGAATGGCCATCACATTCTTCCATCATAATGTTCTATGCTTTTTCTACAATCACAATCTGTACATTTCTGTTGGCATCGAGTACACAAATTACAAATCAGATTTTAAAATGCTTCACCTTAAATCATATTCCCAGCTTTTAAAACATGTACTCTATTTCTACAGGAGGTATATGGCAAATACTGTTGACCTGTTGTCTTCCCCTAAAGATAAGCTAATACCCAAATGTATTATGGGGTCTCTTAGTGTTGATGTTATAGTTTACTAGTAACTGTAACTTGTACCACAGGTGTGATCCTGTATGTGCGTCTGACTCTGGTCGTCCTGGTCATCGTGTCATCACTGTCTGTGCTGGTATTCTGCAGGAAGAGGACTTGTAAAGCCAAAAGTGAGGAACCAGGTAACACACACACACACACACACACACAGAAACAATTGTTCACAAAAAATGGTAGCAGCTGTTAGCTCTTGACTTGTTATATTAACTTTAAACACAGACGCAAGATTCTATTTGTTTCTCACACAAAAAAGTCCATCCATGACACCAGATAAAAATAACCCAACTGCTGAAAAACATAAGAATTGTAGGCAGCCTGATTTTTGTGTGTGTGTGTGTGTGTGTGTGTGTGTGTGTGTGTGTGTGTGTGTGTGTGTGTGTGTGTGTGTGTGTGTGTGTGTGTGTGTGTGTGTGTGTGTGTGTGTGTGTGTGTGTGTGTGTGTGTGTGTGTGTGTGTGTGTGTGTGTGTGTGTGTGTGTGTGTGTGTGTGTAATGGTGTAGATGCTACTAGACTATATGTTCTATGTTCGTGATGTTGCGACTTACAAAGCATACATGTAGCACCTGTTTCCTCTGCAACAACTGAAGGATTATCCCTCTGCCAGTTCCAGTTATAACAACACCTTTGGTCAATAATAAAAACACACATAAAAAAAATAGAGGTAGCTAAGAGGATAGCTTCCTCTATTTTGGAGTGAAGTCAGCTCATAGGCTTTTCCATTTTTTTAACTAATTTAAATTTGACAGGTTGCTAAATGACAAAATATGTTCTGTTGTTTTCAAACTCAAAACACATATATTTATCTTGTTGTTTAAGGGTTGGCCCAAATATTGGTTTAAATGGGGAATGTGTTATATCATGTGTGAAAATCTTTGAGTCTTTTTCTCAAAGTACTGTTGTGTTTTTCAGAACCTCGTGTGGAAACACAAAATGCTTCTGCACCAGACGTGAGTTTGAGAAAAGTTATACAATTTAAACGTTTGGATCACAACACATTAGCTCGGTAGGGCTACATTTATTGCACCTGTTGCTGCTTCCTATCCATATTTACTGAAATGCCGGATTTGGCTTTGATTCATGTTGCTTGTTTTGTTCTGTTTTTAAAGACAAATTTAATCAAGCAATGTTTTTCCCTCCAGGCTGAAGACGACCCGAGTCAACCCACCTACTCTGAGATCAAATTTGTCAGCGTCGGCTCGTCCCAAAGCGGTTTCCACGGTGACGCTGAGTGTGTTATCTACTCTGTTCCTCAGGTGGAAGCTAGCTCTGATGAGCCCCCTCTGTACTCTACTGTTAACAACCCCCAATAACTCTCACAGTCTGGCAGAAGAAGCTGGTGTGAATTAAGCAGCCGTGTACATATTCTGAAACTAAGAGATGTTTGTGGGAATATGTACGATTATTTAATCATTTACTTATTTCAAACCTGCTTTGAATGACGTCATGTGATGATCAGTCCATCTCTGCTCTAGTTCACAAACGTGCTGCTTCAACAGTTGTTTCAGGTCAAAGCTGGTTGCACTTATTGTACGTCCCTTTGGATAAAAGCGTAATCTAAATGAGATGTAATTTAATGTAAAAAGCTCTTTTATGGCTTCAATTTATTTATAAAGTTCATTTTATTACACTTGATATGGTATTAAAGTTATCTCTGTAAGGTAAACTTTTCTAGTCAAGTTAGCAGATTAGCATAAGATATGTTGCTCCGAATTAGCTTTGACTATTAAATTGACTATTTTGGTTAAAGGCTTATTTTACAGAAATGTTTAATTATAGCGGAATATAAATAAATAAATATGAAACTAGAGATGTGGTCAGTACGGGTTACAAGATGCCACTCCTCATACTGTTGTGTAATGTGTCAGACTTTTAACCTGTTTGTATTGTTTATATATATATTTGGATTTGCACCTTTTTTTATAGAGTTTTATTTTTTATATTGTATTTTATATTAGCACTCTTCCTGCTCTGTACTGCATCTGCTGCACAACACAATTTCTCGGGATGAAAATAAAAGTTTTCTTAAACAAATCATTTCTGAAATGTGTTTGACAATAATTTTATAATTTAAATGTTAACAGCAAAAGATATTATTTTGCTGCATTAAGTTACAAAGTTTTAAAGTGAAACCATACGTGATACACATGCAGGTGTTAGAGAGGAGAGTCCAGCTGTGAGTGTTTTATTTTAAGCAGGGACTCCATCGTTTAGAGAAGTGAAAACGTGTTGGTTTGCCGGTGAAGAAGAAAGAGAGACAGCGTTCAACCATCAGAGACTCGAACATGGACGTCTGCCACAGTTTGATCTTCTTCGTTCTCAGTGAGTACACTTTGTAGTTCTGTCATTTCTCTATAATGTCATCTTCCTTTCTGTATTTAATGTTAAACTCCCCCTGTGTGACCATCAGCTGTTTGTTTGTTTGTTTGTTTGTGTGGGTAAAGGTGTGAACAGCCATGAGTAGGAGTCACATTATTTGTATTTAATATAAAAAACGTATGAGCATATTCCTAATGTATTTGTAATCAACAACTTTTTTTTACATTTGACCTTCATCCAAAGGTTTTTACAATATAATTGCAATCAACCATGAGGATACAAATTCAGCAACAATCCTGCAAACACATACGCTTTCAAATACATTTCTCATAGCCAGGTTAGTTTTTATAGTCTCACTTTGTAGTTTTCACATTGGGTCTGCTGAGACTTCACACAGGAAACTACCTCTCGAACACAATAAGCAAAAAGCGTTCTCGGAGAAACCTGCTAGAGGCTCCCAAAATAAATCTTTCTCAGGAAGTCTCTGCAAATGCATGCTTTTGTGACTTCAGGGTTGATTAATCAGTCAATATGCCCTCTTAGATTTAGAACTCCAGGGTTCATTCACTTGCTTTTTCTGGAGATTTCAACGTGTAACCATCTTATGGTTTGTTTGGTTGTCATGGAGAAAGGGGGTTTAAAATTAATTCAGCAAATTGAACTGCATTGACTTAAACAATGTGATCAACTAATGTAAATACTAATGTTTATTTTACGACAGAAAACTCAAAAGTAACACCTGTAACAGCTTCTAGTTTGACTGAATGTATGAATAGTTGACATTGACTGTTTATGGGTACATATGTAAGTGTGTTTATAAAGTCCGAAATAAAACTTTGCAGTGGCTGATGTTTTATTTTAATGTCATATTAACTTTATATTTTACAGAAAACGTTTTAATGCATAATGGAGCTGCTACTATGTTGTATGCCATTAAATAGGTTTATCTCGTCTTATATGTTAAGTTAAAAACAAAGTTAAAGAGGATTTTCCAATAATGTCATACTTGCTTTTGTGAAACTGTTTCATGTGATAACAATATAGATCCAATGCCTGTTAGACTGTGATTTACCGCAGCTTGTTGTTTGACAATGTGTAAATGTAGTTCAGTATTTGCTGTAATTAGTTACAGGAGGCACAGACAGTGACTGTTGCTTTTCTTTTTAACAGCCCTGCAGGGTCCAAACACTGGTCTTGTCTCTGCGGAAGGACACCCCGTCTTTACAGGGACTGAAGGAGGAAATATTTCAGTTCATTGCTCCTTTTTACTTTCAGGAAAAAGGAAGTTACTCTGCAAACCAGACTGTAAAGAACACATTCTCATTGAAACGAATGGTGACAAGGCTACACAAGGCAGATACAGCATTGAATATATCTATCTATCAACTATTTTTCTGTCATATCACGTCGTTCGCGTTGGCATCACAAAGCTGACGAAGTCCGACTCAGGACGGTACATATGTGGTCTGGACAGAGATTTGCTTCCAAACTCACAAGATCTGATAGAAATCATCGTAGAAGATGGTGAGTTTTTACTGAAAGACAAAGTATGCTTAGGTTTTAGGGTTCCAAATACCAAATATATGTAATCTTACAACTGTAAACATGTATCACTTAACAACGGGTCCAATTCTTAAAGGGCCCTGTTATTCTCATGTTCAGGTTCATATCAGTATGTAGTGTCTCTACTGAGACATGTCTCCATGCTTTAATGTTCAACAAGCTCTTTATTTTTCTCATACTGCCTGTGCTGCAGCACCTCTTTTCACCCTCTGTCTGAAACCAGAGCCCAGTCTGCTCTGATTGGTTAGCTGGCGGGCTCTGTTGTGATTGGTCAATCGCTTAGAGATGGCCCGCCCCTTAACCTGATAAACTGAATGAATTTTGATTATAAGCATTATATGTTATGATTCCAAATAAAATACTCACTCTAAAATGTATCTTTACTAAAATACTGCCAATATTTTTTCACATAATTTCTTTGTGTCTTTGTTGATCAGGACGGTTGATGCGTCACTACGGAGAGACCGTACAGCTGTGACCAGTGTGTGGGAAGATGGCGCCTGTGTCGGCTCGCCGCTCCCTCAGCGCTCCATCTTTAGCTATCCTGTTTTTGTTTTATGTTTGTCAGAATGTCTCTGCTCTGCTCGTCTACGATCGCCAAGCTCTCCTCCACCTCAGACCCTCACTGGAGTTGATATTGCTGCCCAAACCTACATCTGGCAACCATAAATCGTCCCCCCCCCCCTCTACTGTCGGATATTCCCACCTGCCTGCGCCGGTTGCCCTGCATCCTGCCTCACCGAAAGCGCTTTAGACGACGGGGAAAGCGTGGTGGTGCACTGGTCCATCTTAAGGCATACCTGACGGCTTCTTCTGGGACTTATCCACGCCTCGGATGTCATGGCCCTCCCGCTGCACGCCATGGGAGGGATCGGTGGATTCGCCCTGTTTTTCCGGAGCTGCGGCCTCTGCTGGGCCCGCTGGCAGCTCCTCCTGCCCGACTGACTGCTCCCGGCCCGCGCGGCGTTCAACACGCACATCTTCGTCCGCTGAGACGCACAACACCTTCGGCAAGCCCGGAGCGAAAACTTTGCATGGCTTTGCTAAATGCTAGGTCGATAGCAAACAAAACGTTCCTGCTAAACGACTTCTTCACCTCTCGTGAACTGGATTTTATGTTTCTGACGGAGACCTGGGTCCACGCTGGCGAGTATACACCGTTCTCTGAACTTCTTCCTCCTGACTGTACATTCTTCAGCTCCCCCCGTGCCACCGGCCATGGTTGCGGCATAGCATCAGTGTTTAGAGCTAGCCTCCGATGCCGATTGCTTCACCCTGTATCTAGCTATGCTAGCTTTGAGTTGCAGCTTTTTGAACTGAACCCGGCCTCGCCTATACTCTGCGCAGTCGTGTATCGTCCGCCAAAGTGCAATAAGGATTTCATAAATGACTTTTCTGACTTTCTGTCCGGGATCATGGTGAAATATGATCGTGTTTTGATCTCCGGAGACTTCAATGTCCATGTGTGTTGCGAGTCCAAACCTCTGGTTAGGGACTTTTTAAATCTCCTTGATTCTTTTGGTCTCGTTCAGTCCGTGGCTGGCCCAACACACGAAAAAGGACACACTTTGGACTTAGTATTATCGTTTGGACTGTCTGTATCTGTGGATGAAATATGTGCAGCAACGTGTATCTCAGACCATTTACCGGTTCTGTTTACAACCTCGATCCCTTCCGCAGGAGTCGAATCATGTGCCCCTGCGCGTCGTCTGCGTTCGATTAACCCCTTGACTGCCTCACAGTTCTCTGATGTTTTTAATGCTTCTCCGATCTGTAAATTAGAGGTGAACTGTGTTTTTAGTGCTGATGAGCTTATCTCCATGTTTGACTCGACATGCACACTAATACTGGATTCTGTTGCTCCTTTTACGCTTAGACGCACCAAAGTTCTCTCAGAGCCGTGGCTAAAGGACTGTACTCGCGCTCTCAGACGCGCTCTCAGACGCGCTTGCAGGCGTGCAGAGAGAAAATGGAAAAAGGATAAACTCCATGTCTCCCTAGAAATCCTTCGTGCTTGCCTTTCTGACTACCAGACGGCAGTCAAAGCAGCCAAAACAGAGCACATTTCTCTATTAATCTCCAAAAACAGCCATAAACCTCAGGTTCTTTTTAATGTCCTCAACTCTATCATTAATCCCTGTGATGTTTCTCCAATTGTGCCATCGACTACTCTCTGTGATAAGTTTCTTACATTTTTTATTGAAAATGTATCTGCTCTTAGGCTAGCCCACACTAGTGCTACCCCAGATCCTGCTCCTTTTCTGTGCCCTGCTGTCCTCGACCACTTTGAGCCTGTATCCCTCTCTTCTCTCTCGGATGTAGTCAAGCACCTGCGGCCGACAAACTGCACCTCAGACAGCATTCCCTCTCGCCTTCTCAGAGATGTCCTCGAATCAGTTGGAGCAAGTATTTTATTACTTATAAATACCTCTCTTAGCTCAGGATGTGTCCCAGCTGCCTTCAAACATGCCGTGGTCAAGCCACTACTTAAAAAGAAAAATCTCGACCCTTCCATTCTCGCAAATTTTAGGCCCATCTCCCAGCTACCTTTTTTATCTAAAGCCCTGGAGCGAGTAGTCTACGCCCAGCTGCAGTCTTTTTTAACCATGCATGGCATCCATGAAAAGTTTCAGTCTGGCTTCAAACCCATGCACAGCACTGAAACAGCCCTTTTAAGAGTTTTTAATGATCTGCTCCTAGCCGCCGACTCAGGTAGCCCAGCTGTCCTGGTGCTGTTAGACCTGACAGCTGCCTTCGACACTGTGGACCATAGCATCCTGTTGTCACGGCTTGAACAGTCCGCTGGCATCACAGGCTCTGCATGGTTCAGGTCCTACCTGACAGACCGTAGCTTCTCAGTGCAGCTAGGTGCCTTCTCCTCTGCCAAAGCCCCTCTTATCTGTGGGGTTCCCCAAGGCTCGATTTTGGGCCCCATCCTTTTTCTACTGTACATACTGCCCCTCGGTTCAATTCTCACAAAACACAACATCCCCTTCCACTGCTACGCCATCAATGTACAGATCTATCTGCCACTCAATTCAAATGTAAACTCATTACAGCTATTGATGGACTGCTTAGCAGAGATCAAATCCTTGCTGAGCCAAAATGTCCTCAACCTCAATGAGAGCAAGACTGAGGTTATCTTTTTTGGACCC